AGACAAACCAGAGGCCTTTGTGACTGCCACAGGTCCTGCAGAAGCTTTTTCCCCCTGCTGTCCATGTGCTCCCAGTCGGACACAAGAGCCACGTTGACAGCAGATATCTCCTGCAGGAACTGCAGCTGTGCTCCGTGATCCCTGGCGTCTCCATGCAGGTTACAGAAAGCCACGCAGCGCTCAAAGGTGTCATCAGGGCTTGCACGGGGGCAGTACCAGGCGATCTCCACCAGCCCTTCCATCAGCAAACGCTCTCTGGTGCTGCCTCTGCAGTGGCGGTGGAAGAAAGTGTCGTGTTTGCGTTTGCTCAGCAGAGCGTTCAGGAGCTGGGACTTGGAAGAGGAGGCGGAGCTGCCAATGCGGATGAAGGACACAATGGGTGTCTGTGCCTGAAAGATGAGTTTGTTACTGTAACTCTTTGTTTGGGTCTGCTCTCCTGACTTCTCCACCTCTTTCCAGCTCCTTTGGATTTGGCTGAGGGCGTAGAGCGGGAACTCGATGCGTGAAGTGCTCGGGTTGGGCAGCAGCAGAGGCAGCGCCAGTTGGCAGAACGCCAGCTTGGTTGCCAGGGTCTGTCTCAGGAAGTCATCAGCACAATGGAAAATGGCCATCTGCAGGTCCATGGGGTGCACATGGCCGTCCCTGCTTGCACATTCAGGGGCGACTTCCATCAGCTTATCGAGAAAGTTTTCAAAGGAGTCTGATTGTTGGTTGTCTTGCTCTCTGGTTTGTGGCATGGGTGCAAGGCCTGGGTTGCTGTCATCCCAGCAAGTCAGGTACCTCACCTGGTAATCCACAGTTAACAGCTTTTGCAAGAAGTACAATGGCAGTTCCTTGTCCTGGCTGGGATGGCGGTCCTGCAGAGCTGTCTTGCAGATGGTGCGGAAATCTCCCATCCCCATTTTCCTTGGATAGTGACTTTCCAGTCCAAGGCGCTTGAGCAACTGGAGGAACTCTTGGTTTGCAATGGCTTCATTTTCTCTGGATTCCCTGCTGTCTGACTTGGACTGGGACTGACTGGGGGCCTCAGGTGTCGGAAAAGTGTCTTCCAGGTCGCTGAGTATGTTCTGCATCCTCTGTTCCTCCCATTTGTCATCCAAGCACCCACTGGTCAAGGAGTCCAAGTCCTGTTCCAGCCTCTCCCAGTCTTCGTCTCCACTGTGCTTTTGGAGGAGATTCTTTATCCGTGTGGACCACAAGCCTTTCATGTGATCTTCCATGAAAACTAAACGCTCCCTCTTCTGCTCGGGGGACAGCTTTTGACTTTCTGGTGTCACAGTCAGGCCTGTCAGCAGGAGGAAGGCCTGAGCTCTGTTGGCATCTTGCTCCTTCAGGTTCACGTACTCCGCATGTGCCGCTTCCATTTCCTTGGCCATGTACTGAATTTCTGGGTGTCCAAGGAGGTACTGAAAAGTGCTGCTTTCCACCTGGTACCCTGTGCTGGTCACAATCAAGAGCACCAACAGTTCCATGTCCTTCTGAGCCTGTTCCTGGAGAGACTGCAGTAAGGAGTAAATGGTGAGGCTGCTGGTCAGGGTGGCTTCTATCTTTGCTTCATGAACGTCAGAAGCAGTGCTTCCTGGTCTGTAGGTGACAGCATGGATGTGCTCCTTCATTTGCTGCAGTGTCTTGATGAGCTCTTGAAGCTCAGAGACTTTGGGAGGTCTGGGATGCGGGTGCTCAGTCTGGAAGACCCATTGCATAATGGAGGAAGCCTCAGGGAAGTCCTTGACAGAGTAGATATGAGGATTCAGGAGGCTTCTCAACATTGCCTTGATAGAGGTGGTGTTTTCTGGAGGTGACTCCTGGCAGCTCCGCACGGTGTTCAGCAGGAAGCCCTGCAGGGCTTTGTTTGACAGGCACACGTTGATCCACACACTGGGGTTTCTGGTTTTTGCGCTCAGATCATCTTTTAGCTCCATCAGCATGAGCAGCTTCTCTTCATCCCCTTTCGCTACCTCCCAGGCTGTCACAGTCCCCATGAAATCTCTGGCCTCTTGCACTGCACTGCCCAGCTCCTCTCCAAAAACAGTGCCGATGCTCTGATTCGTCAGCGCTTTGTACGCAGCCCTGAGGGCTCTGCTCATCTGACCAACAGACTTAAAATCCCTGCGGTGATTGCACAGGATGACGTCCCACACTGGGATCAGCTCAAAGCCACGGTCGATAACGCACCACGTTGTGTTATCAGACACGAGCCCCGTTTTCCACTGAGGAAGGGAAGCTGTGTCTGCTGGGCCCCCTGTGCTGACCACGTAGAGCTGAATTGCTGCATGAGAACTCGCTCTGGCTCTCCCCAGGACAGAAGCCTGTGCGCCGGATTTAGAAACATCCAGGGTCCCTTCTACACTGGCCCAGAAGCTGGCCCCAACAAAACTGTTCAGTGCTTCAGACGTTAGTCGCTTCATCTCTTCCCGCTGCTCGGCTCGGAATCCTTCTGTAGATGCTTTCCACCAGAATATCCCCCCAAAGTGGAGGGGACCCTGGTTTATGTGGGACCCAAACCTGCTGAAGAAGCTCTCACACATTTTCACCAAGGTGGGGTTGTCTTCCTCCGAACTGAAGCTCAAAAGCTGCTCCATGTCTTGCAGCTCCCGCAGAGCCGCATCCGAGAGGCAAAGCTGATGCCTTTGGAAGTAGTAGGAGGCCAGAGGGATGTACTGGTACTTGGTGGTGCAGAAGTAGCTCTGCTCAGAGTGGGACTCGTGAGTGTCCTGTGACTGTGTGGAGCTGCTGTGATCTACACTCTCACCCAG